AGACGCTGACAAGGATGGCTCGGGTCAAAAACGGCCATGAAAGCTCGAATGCCGTCAAGAGAACACGGCGTAGGTGGAACACGACTCTTGCCCCCTACGAGCTCCATCTGCACCCCTCCGCGTGACTGCTCAGCTGCTTGAGAATCTCGACGCCTCTGACGACGAGGTGTTGGGGCCTGGTGATGGTTCTGTACCGTCCACCGGCTCGACGAATCCTGCCGCTGGGTCGTTCTTGGATCCCATTTCCTTATCAGAGAACTCGGCTGGCAGTCCTTCAGGTTCCGACTCAGCGACCGCAGATGCTCGTCGTTCTGCCCAAGCGAGAAGTCTTCATGCGGCGATCTTCGGTTCTGACGACGAGATGAGCGATGAGTCCTTGCCGCCGAGTGATCGCCACTCTTCGCGGCCTTCATCGAAGGATTCTGGTGACGGGACGAGTTCTGCCTCTGCGCCGGCTTCGGGGAAGCAGCAGCATCGCAAACGTCGTGCCTCGTCGAGTCCTACCGGTCATCGGTCGAAGCGATCCAAGAAGCACAAGAAGCACAAGAAGCATCACAAGACGCACCGACACCACAAGCATTGGCAGCTTCCGTCGACTCCTGATCCAGCTCCGGCTCAGTCCATTCCGGCTGCTCCTTCGCCGAGTAGGCTCCCGGTTATATCGATTCTCTCTCAGCCGAGTTCGACTGCTTCACGTCCGGCTGTGGTCGCACTTACCAGCGCTCTTACACTCCCGCTGGCGACGTTACGGACTCGGGCCTCGCAAGCGGTGTCCAAGGATTGTCGCCTGAATCTTCACATGGCTCAACTCCGCGAGGTACCATTCATGCATTTCGGCTCAACTCGTTGTTGGAATGCATTATTGGATACACTGGGCGGTCGCAGCAGATCTCCGGATAGGGCGCCCAGATGGGGACGTCAACACGGCCGTGGTCACAGGGAGAGACGGTCTGAGGACACTCACGGCCGGAGTCACTAAGTCAGTCGGCGTGGTGGATACGCTGAGACCCCGAGAGGGCGACTGGGAGCGTCCAACCACCGTTAGCACGACGCTGAGTGGTGCGCTCGACTGGGGCAACCCAGCGGAGATAGGCGAAGTC